AATGTATTAGGTAATCTGTTGCAACTATAATATATTGATTGTTGCAAGTGGTTATAGATAGAGGTTCTACTAGATCAATTCTAATTCTTTCAAAGGCTTGTCCTATTTTAATAGGATGTAAAGTTTTTTTTTTTTAGATTTGCCTCTTCTTTGGCATATTTCATAGGTCTTCACATATTCTTTAATATCTCAATATATTTGGTCCCAATAATACTGTTTTGCAATCTTATAGTATATAGCATCTATTTCCAAATATTTAGCAGCAGGATGACTATGCATTATATATAAGATAGGATCTACTTCAGTCTATTTAACAACTCTAAATAGTTTGTCTAAGTCTCATTTGTTTTTTTTATATAAATGTTCATTTTTAATCGTGAAATATTTAGCTTAATTTTGAAGTTGTTTCTATTGATAAATAGTAAAGTCAGAAAGTAAGGTATCAGAATTTAAATAATTAAATAGATTTTGATATTAATCTAAATTCATTATTAAAATTCTGGTAGTTAAAGTCTTGAGAAGATATTTACATTGGAGTGAATTCTATCCAGTTTGTATATAATAGTGAAGTTGTAAGGTTGTAGTTTCAAATCTATTATTCAATTTGTTCTTTTAGTTCTATAGTTTTAAGCTATTTTAGTGCAAGGTGGTCAATTACAAGAGTAAATTCAGTAGCTTCTAGATAGCTATGAAAATGTTCAATAGCCTATACAATAGTAGCATATTCTAGTTCTATTGCAAAGTAATTTTGTTCTGCCATTATTAGACTTTTGCTAGCATAAGCAATAGGATATTCCTTTCTATCTCTAGCCTTTTGAGTCAAGATAGCTCCAAAGCTATGATAAGAGGCATCAATAGCAAGAATAAATCTTTTTCTAAAATCAGAATAGGCTAGAATAGATGCAGTGGTTAACTTTTCTTTAATACTTCTTGCTGTTTGTTTTCCTAATAATAGGGTTCATCTTTATAAAAAAGTTGGTTCAAGAGTTAGGCTATAGCAGAGAAGTTCCGAATAAATTGTTAATAATATCTAACTAAACCAAAAAAGATCATAACTTGGTAGTGTTTTTTGGGGATTAGATCTTTTGAACAGTTTTAATTTTTGAGGAGTTAGAGGCTATTCCTTTAGAGCTAATAATATAGCCAAGAAAGGGTAAAGATTTCATCCAAAAGTTGTATTTTTCAAGATTAAGTTTTAATCCTGCATCTTTTATCCGTTGAAACACAATCTTAAGATGTTTCAAATGGTCCTCAAATATTCAAGAGTATACATTGATATTGTCAAAATACACAACTACAAATTTCCAGACAATTCTTTTATAAACTTGATCCATAAATCATTGAAAAGTGACAGAAGCATTACACAATCCAAATGGCATCATATTAAACTCATAGATGCTATATTTTGTAATGAAAGCAGTCTTCTCTTTATCTTTAGAATCTATCATAACTTGCCAGTATCTACTAGCTAAATCTAAGGTCGAAAACCATTGTGATCCTGAGAAGGCATTTAATATTTTTTGGATCCAAGGTAATGGATAGGCATCTTTCTTAGTGATACTGTTAAGCTTTCTGTAGTCAACACAGAATCTTAACTTTCTATTTTTCTTCTGTACAAGAACAACAGATGATACCCAAGGGCTTTCTGAGGGTTAAATAATGTTGCTGTCTAACATCTATTTAATTTCTTGTTTAATAAATTCTTGTTCATCTGAAGAAACATTATAAGGTCGTAGTTTAATAGGTAGTATATCTTCTGTATAGATTTTATATTTAACTTTATCTGTTTTGCCAAGTTCTGTAATATCTTTAGCAAACAGATTAGCAAATTTTTCTAACAAGATTTTAAATACTTGTTCTTGTTCTTTTGTAAGTGGTTCTATATTTATAGTATCTTTCTTTTCTAATATATATTCTTTATAAGGAATTAAAGTATTTATAGTATATACAAAATTGTATTTAAGAGCATTAGCTTGCAAAGCCTGTTGCAAAGTTTCTTCTTCTGTTAGTAATTCTTCTAAATCTTCAAATAGTTTTTTATCTTGCTTAAGATAGCTCAAAAATTTTACTATGTAAAGACTATATAAGCATAGTACTTAGCTCGTTCTTGGTGATGTTGGATTTGTTATTGAAAAAATTCTATCATCTTTTTAAAATTTTCTTTCAAGTATTAGACTCTGGCTTCTAATTAAACAATAACTTGGTTTTTTTCTTTATTCTTCCTCTTCTTGAAAATAGGGTCTTCACTTATTTCAAGTTTTTCTACTATAATAGTATCATCATAGTATATTTCTTTTATAGGCTGTTCTGTAGTAATAATATCATCTTGATATATTTCCTCTGTAATTGTTTCTTCAACAGGAAGGGGTTTGTTTTTCTCTTGATAGTACTCATCACAAAGGCCTTAGTTAGCTTCTAATTCAGTACTTTGTTTAGCAAAGAGATACTCTTGGCAAAGAGCTACTTTTTTTTCAAAATTTTTCTTCAGATTCTCAATTGCTTTGCGAATATCAAAGCCAGATTGAGAGATGTTAAAAGATTCATTTAGAATTTGTTGTAAAGTAGTCTCTTCTTCTGTAAACAATACTTGCTTTGCTCGAAATAGAATAGTAATCTCTTCAGAGGTCTATTCTTGATTATATCTATCATTTTCTTGCTCTTCCATAGCTTCTTCTATGCTTCTATATTCTTCATTAAGCAAAACTTTAACTAGATGATAGATTTGATCTTGGTTCAAATCATACTAATATCCAGCATTTCTGATAGACTCAATATAATGCCTAATTCTGTTCCAAATCTCATAGTTTAGATTATATTAAAGGTCTGTAAAGATTTTATAAGTATATATGTGTTCTAATTTACAGAACTACAATTCTTCTCATATGCTTTCTATGTTGTGTATTCTTGATCTGGGTTTCTGAATATTACAAAGTTTGCATCAGACAAGGGTTCCTCTACCAAGTCCTGTATTGTAATATTTCTGGCTTCTGGGGTCTTCTGGGTTAAAGGCTTTATAGTAAGTTTTATAACAAGTAATGCAAGCAAGTTTTTTTTCTAATTTGTATAGTTTGTTAGATTGCTGAGGGGTACAAAATTACAACAATGATGGGTTCTTCTTCTACTATAGTAGGTTATTCTTTTTTCTTTTATTTGGTCTTTGTCACAACCATATGTGTAAGTTAAATTGCCAAGCTTGAGTTGGGCAAGAAGATAGTTAATTTCAATATAGCCAAATTTATTATAGCTATTATATTGGTTATCAGAACAATCCTTGAACAAGTGAGCAGTTTGTTCACAAGTTCTATAGTTATTCGACCTTTTATGTTTGTTGGAGCAGTTGATAAGTACATATTCAAATTTGTTGCAATAATAATATTGATTTCTGGAGCAATCTTTATACTGATGGTTAGCTTGATCACAGATTTTGCAAGGTAGTTTTCTTTGTCAAGATTGGTAGACAGTCTATCCTTGATCTTCATCTTCTAAGAATGCTGAAAATGTATAAGCTTCATAGGATATTAGATATTCTTGCTTATATAATTCAAAGTCTTTAGTAGTAGTACAGGTTGGTTTTTTTTCTTTAGACTTTTCTTGCTTATAAAAAGTATCAAGAACAATCTTCTTTCTTTTCTAATAGAGAGTATATTGACATGTTTTTTAATTATAATTGGCTTCTACTTTCTTTGACTAATCATTTTCAAGTAAAATAAAATAAGAGGTGGCAGGTACAACTTCTATATCCAAGAGAATAAGTTGGCCTTGGATTCTAATAGACAAATTTTTAATAATTTCAAGAAATCTGGAGGTAGTGCCAGTAGCAGCAACAATAAGGCTTTTAGATAATTTCTTAATTTTAAAGCCTAGTTTTTTTATAGTTTGGTGTGAGATTATACTGACAGAGACTCTACTATCAATAATAGCAGAATAGATGCAGTCTTGAATATCAATATAGCATTTAACAGAGATAATGGTACTAATATATTAAGGTTTGGTATTTTCTCTATTGGTTTCAGTAATATAGGTGGTTAGAGCAATTCTGATAGAATAATTGTCTAACAATCTTTTACAATTGTTAGATTTAGAGGCAGATTGCTTTTCAGCCATGTTGATATTTCAGTAATAAGGTGATAGTGAGTGATTAGACCTGGGTCACCATCTATTTTGACTTCTGTCTCTAGATCTGCTCCTGTAATTTTTGTCTCTGGATTGACTTCTGTCTTTACAATTTCTATCACAAGATTAACTTCTATCTCTGTTTTTTCGATTATTATTATTATTATAACGATTATTATTATTTCTTCTATTATTATTATTGTTAGTTCTTCTCTCATTATTTTTGTTTCTTTGGTTATCATTTCGTCTTTTTCTATAGTCAACAATAAAATGTCCTAGATTTTCACAATAATAACAAAGAGCCCTCTATCTTAACTAAAATTGTTTTGGCAAGAAAAGCCAGTTTCTTTTTTAACTATATAAGCAGGTCTTGGTTGGGGTTCTGGTTACTGTTGAACCATATTAATAGCCAATTTATCAAAGCAACTAGTAAGATTACTAATAGCATTTATTACTGGGTCTTTTGCTAAAGCTATTAATTTTCTAGTTTTCTATTATTTAGTAGTAGTAATAGCATTGTCTAAGTTTTCTGAAGATGATGCTTGAACAGGGATAGCATATTCAGATCGCAATCTTTTAATAAAAAGTTAAACAATAAAAAGATTAGGAAAGATATGGTCTGGGTTTGGGTTTACTTTCTTTTGTAGTTTCTTAAACTAGGCAATATAGATATTTATAGTATTTGTTTCTTGTTTTAGATCAAAAAATTCTTGTCACCACATAGCTTGCTTTTTGGTAGTCATGAATTGTTCCAAGAATTTTATTTTGAATTGATTATCATTATTTCTAGTATCGTATTATTGAATTTCTTCTTCTGTTTCTTTTAACCAATCTTCTGTATTATCATATATATAAGCTTTAGTGATAGCAAGTTTTCTAGCAGCACTTCAGTTATTAGCAGTAGCAGCTCGTTCAAATTCATTAATCCAATTGATAGGGTTCTCAGTACTATCTCTTCTAAATAATTTAATCTTGATAAGAGATTTTTTTGCTTCTTCTTCTCTTCCAATAGCTTCTGCTAATTGGGTCATAGCTTGAGCAGCTTCTTGCAAGTCACCCATAATTTCTTCTTCTTTTGAACTATCTGAGTTTAGTATTTGCCTGGAGTTTGTTTGTTTGGGTAAAGATAAAGGACTTTGTTCAAATAAAATTTCTGTTTCTAGTTGTTCAAAAAAGTCTAAGTCTTCTTGAGAGAGATAATTATAAATAGTGGTTGTTTTAAGAAGTTGAGGATAAAGTAAAGAGTAAATAGAAGTTAAACTAGAGATATCTGGGAGGTCTGAGTAAAGGCGTTCTAGTGGTGAACTAGGTGTTTTAATTTGAGGGTAAAGAGATTGAT